GGTAGTTTGGCCCCTATCCCTACCCCCTCCGCATGGGTCCGAAAGGGAGGGGCAGGCAGGCGCTGAAACCCAATATGACGCAAGATAGCGCACGGTCGCTCAAGTTGGCTCCGGACGTACTCCAAGAGACTTCAAGACCGCTTCAAGACGGGTCCGATAAGGCTTGCGGCTTCCCGAAGGGCCACCAGTCTTCAAAAACTATGAGGATATGGCCCCCCGAAGCCCCAGGAAGGCCCCAATAATGCCCCAGAGCGTTCGAAGAGCGCCCTAAGAGCGCCCCAAGAGGGCTCCGACAGGCGACGTTGGGGGCTCCGAGCAGCGACGCCCCAAGAGGGCCTCAACACGGCCGCACATTGGCCCCAACATGCCCCCGAAATGGAACCGAGACGGCCTCAGGAGCCATCACAAGCGACCCAAGAGCGCCCCCGCGAGGGCTCGAAGGGGGACGTTTCAAGCCTAACAGAGGAAGCCCCAATGCGCGCCGTCCCCTCCTCCCACCTCGTCATCATCGGGTTCACCAAGAACTGAATGATAAAGTGCTTCATGACACTATTTTTTGTGTTCGACTGCCCCCTCCTCCTCCTCCTCCTCCTCCTCCTCCTCCTCCCCCTCCTCCTCCCTCCTCCTCCCTCATCCTCCATGTCCTTCCTCCTCCTCTTCATCATCCTCCTCCTCCTCCTCCTCCCCCTCCTCCTCCTGTTTCCTCCTCGTTATTCCTCCTCCTCCTCCTCCTCCTCCTCCTCCTCTCCTCCTCCTCCTCCTCCCCCCCTCCTCTTCCTCCTCATCCCCCTCCTCTTCCTCCTCCTCCTCCTCCTCCTCCTCCTCCTCCTCTTCCCCCTCCTCCTCTTTTCATCATCATCCTCACCCCCCTTCCCGCCTCATCCTTGTCCTCAGGCCTTCCTCCTGGTTCTGCCCAGGCGAATGCAACACTTCGGTTTTGATCAAGTGGATTTGCTTGGGCATCGTTTTTGGATGGGCTGGTGGGGATAAAGTTTGGCGCGCGGGCGCGCGAAGACGAGTGGAACGCCGTGCAAGCTAAGGCGGGCCGCGCCGAAACTAAGGGGAAAACGACGAAGCGAGCAGCGCCCGGCTCAGAGCGGAACGGGCCCAACGCCGCCAAGATGGCGCGGGAGGCATCACAAATCAGCATTTGAGTCACGTCACTCAAAGCTGCGGTACCAGGTAACGCAGGGCGTGCCCACTGAGGTGCCTTAGTGACGCAGGTACGGTGTGCGTGAGCGACCACGCAAATTGAGAAGTCAGCATCTCGGGTTCCCCAGGTCACACTTGCCGAAAAAGGCGTCCTTGAAGAATCCGGCAGTCACGAACTCCCAGCAACCATGCCGCAGCCAAAACAGCGAAAGAATCGGCGGGTGGGGATACTTTCCGTTCGGCGACTCGAAAGACAGATCCAGCGAGCGGGAATAACGTCTGGGCCACAGAGCGAGATAATTGGCTGCAGAGGCGCATAGGCCGCTGTAGCGAGTGCACATGCCAGGGACAAAGTGACCCTCATTGGGGACCGATGCAGGCGGCCCGGCAGATGGGGACGCAAGCGCAATACCGGAAGCGGACGGAAAGGAGGAAGCGGGTGGGGATACGCGAAGCGTCAAGGATGGCAGCAAAATGAACGAGATCCCGACGAGTTCGCCCCTGGTCAGTCAATGAAGAATGGCAGCAGGCTCCGTACTTCTTCAGTATCGTATGAGGCGAGGCACAAACTGAACTCCAACTAACAAAAACATTGCAAGAATGAGTCATGCGTTGTGGCGCCGATTCGCCTTGACTTGCTCTGCGCTGCGTTGCTATGTGTCGCGCTGCCTCGTCCTGCGCTTGCGCCCAAGTCCCTGAGATCAGACTTCGCCACAAAACACGAAACACATCGCGAACAAAACACAACTGGAACCCTACATCCCGTCGTTACGCGTCCTTGTTGCCGGCCGGGCCGATCAGCGCCCTGGGTCCCGAAGCTGTGCGGAATGGCACACGGATGGAAAACATGGCGCCCCCATGGTCTCAGGAGTGCAGTGGCTGCCTTCCCTGCGGCCTTGGCCTCTCTGCGGCCAGGCCCGCCCCGCTCTGCTCCGCGCCCTGCCTTCGGCGCGCCCCCCACCCCCCCCCCCCCCCCACCCCACACACATACACACACACACACTCACACACACACACACACGCACACACACACACACACACACACACGCACACGCACACACACGCACACACACACGCGCACACACACACACACACGCACACACACTGCAAGCGTGCCCGCTGCCCGGAGACTTCCTAGAGGAGG